AAATAAGAACGAGAACAAGTTCTTATTGGAAAAATATAATTAAGGCAATAGAGCAACATCTTTAAAGTATTGGCAGTGGAAGGTGGAACTGTCAACCTAAAATTCTATACCCAGCAAAAATATCTCTCAAAAACCAAGGCACAAGAAAGACTTTTGCAGACATCCCCAAAATAAAAATAAAGTCACAAGCAGGCCCTTATTACAAAAATTGTTAACACATGTTGTTTAGGCAGAAGGAAAATCATACCAGATACAAATCTGGATCTATGCTAAGGAATGAAGAACATCGGAAATGGTATGTGTATGGAAATAAAAAACTTTTATTCTTATTTTCAAATCTCCCTAATAAAATAGGCATCTGTCTAACAAAAATACTAATATATACCACGAATGATAACATATATAGAGTATCTGTACTAAGGCTGAGGAGAGGAAATTAATGTATACTGTTAAGGTTCTTATATTATACATAAAGTGGTATAATATTAACTTAAGATAAACTACGTAAACTAAAGATATTCCAAACACTATAGTAAACACATACAAAAAATAAAAAGTTATAGCTAATCAGCCATTAACAGAGAGTAGAATAAAAATAATCTAAAAAAGGAGAAAAAGAATAACAAGCAAATAAAGAAAAGACAGAACAAATAAAAGAACAAATAGTAAGGTAAAGGACTTTAAACCAAACTGGATCAGTACTTACACCAAATGTAAAGGGCCTGAATACTTGAGTTAAAAGTCATAGCTTGTCATATTGGCAAAAATAAACAAAACCCAACTAACTATATGCTACCTACAATAAATGCACTTTAAATATAAAGACAGAAATAAATTTAAAATAGCATGGACAAAAATCTGTTAACACTAATCAAAAGGAAAAAAGAGTGGTTATTTTAGTAACAAAATAGATATTAGAGCAAAGATCATTCCCAAGGGTGAAGAAGAACATTTCATAATGACAAAATAGACAATTTATCAGGAAGACATAACCATCTTTAATGTTTACACAGCCAATTAACAGAACTTGAAAATACATGAAACAAAGACTGATAGGACTGTAAAAAGAAACAGAAAAGTCCTTACCATAGTCAGAGATGTCATTATTTCTGTCTCTCAATAACTGACAGAACAAGTAGACAGAAAACTAGTAAAGAGAGGAAGACTGAACAACACTATCTACCAAATCAACCTGATCAACACTTATGGAACACCCCACCCAAAATATACATTGTTTCAATTTCACACAGAATGTTTACCCAAATGGACCATTTCCTACCTATAAAAAGTATCAGAGTTTTTTTTTAAAAGAATCAGTTCATTCACCTTATACTGTCTGGCTACAATGTAATTGAATTAGAATCAATGAGAGAAAGGCCTCAAAAATATTCCCAAGTATTTGAAAACTAAATAAAACACTTCAAATAAACCTCTGAATCAAATAAGTCAAAGGAAAAATTAGAAAGTATTTTGAATTGATTGAAACTGAAAATATAGCATTTCAAAACTTGTAGAATGTGGCTAAAGCAGTACAAAAGGGAAAATGTATAGTGCTACGTGCCTACGTTAGAGAAAGAGAAAGGTCCCAAATTAATGACCTCAGCTTCCATCTTAAGCAACTAGCAAAATCAGAACAAATGAAACCCAAAGTAAGCAAAACAGAGTAAACAATAAAGATCAAAGGGGAAGTCAGCTAAATAAAAAACAAAAAACAAGAGAAAATCAATGAACCCAAAATCTGGTTCTTTGAGGAAACCAATAAAATTGATAAACTTTGAGCCACATGGATCAAGAAGCAAAGCAGAAGACACAAATTATCAATGTCAGAAATGAGAGAGATGACATTACTACAGATTCTATAGAATAAAAGGGTAACAACACAATGCAGTTGACCCTTGAACAACAACATGGGCTGAAACTCTGCAGGTGCACTTATATGCAGATTTTCTTCAATAAAAGCAGTACAGTGTTATCTGTTCTCTTGTTCATGATCTTCTCCATAACATTTTCTTTTCTCTAGTACAGCATATAATACATATAACATACAAAATATGTGCTAATTGAATGTTTATGTTTTAGGTCAGGTTTCCAGTCAATAATAGGCTGTATCAGTAGCTAAGTTTGGGGGGGAGTCAGAAGTGACACATGGCTATTCGACTGCATGTGAGGACAGGAAGCAAAAGGATAGCAGAAGGGACTTGTTCCTTCTTTTTATCTTGCTGTTCTTGTCTGCATCACCCTAGCAATGACTCCTTACCTTGTGTTATGCATTAAATAGTGCCCCCCAAAAGAAATTAAAGTCCAATTGGGGAGGGTATGTGCTATGGTGAGTGTTGTGAAGTGTGTAAACCTGGCGATTCACAGACTTGTGCCCCTGGGGCAAATAATACAGTATACGTTTATGAAAAAAATTAAAAATTAAAAAATTTAAAAAAAAATTAAAGTCCTAATCCTCGGTACCTATGAATGTGACCTTATTTGAAAATGAAGTCTTTGTAGATGATCAAGATGAGGTGGACCTTAATCCAAGAGTTGGTGTCTTTATATAAAGGGGAAATATGGACACATAGACAGATATGGACATAAGGGTATGATACGAAGACATAAAGGGAAGTCCATCTACAAACCAAGGAAAGGAACTCCTGAGACTATCAGAACTAGGAGACGAACAGAAAAGATCCTCCCTCATACCCCTCAGAAGGAACCAACCCTACTGACACTTTGATTTCAGACTCACAGCCTCCAGAGCTGTGAGGGAGTACATTTCTGTTGTTTCAAACCACCTTGTTTATGGTACTTTGTAATGGCAGCCTTAGAAAACAAATACATCCTATCAGTGGCACGTGGTTCCGGTCTCCAGCTTTCTTCTAGCATTCCCATAATCAACTTCATTTCCTCATGCTGGAGAGTACCCACCCTAAGCTGGGCTGCACCCCTCTCTGAGGTGCCTCGAGGCTCTCAGTCAGCTTCTAGTTCTGATAACACCAATTCCTCTTCTGTTCCTCAGTCCCCTACGGATGGGAGCAGCTCCCCGCCGTTACTGTTTTCCTTGGGTTCCCTTTTTGCTTTTTTCAGTTTCCTGACACCCATTTAACCAATGCTTTATATTTAATTCACTCTGTGGATATAGGAAATAACTGGTAGTTTCTTTACTTTTGGCAAGAACCCCCAGTGATAATCATTCATTCAGAGTGAAAGCCAAAATCTGAAACAGAGCTTACAAAATCCTATGCAATCTGTGCCGTCCCTGGCTACTTCTCTGCCAGCGTTTCTCGTCATTTCCTCTGTCACCCACTCTGTTCCAGCCACACTGGTCTCTTTGCTAATCCTAAGACATACCAAACATGCTTGCTTCATGGCCTGTGACTTGCTGTTCCCTATGCTTGTAGACAACTGCATGCATGTGGCTTACTACTTCAAGTCTCTGCCCATACCTCTGGAGACATCTTTGCTCACAATGTATACAAAAGTATTATTTCTCACAACTCCTGCCTTCTCTTGCCCCATAATCCCTTTCCTCCATAGCAGGCATCACCTCCTGGCATACTTTGTATCCGTTTGTTATTTACAGCCTCTTCCAGAAGCGTGCAAGCTCCACGAGAGGATCATTGTTCACTACTGTGTCCCCAGTGCCCAGAGCAGGGTCTGGCACAAAAGTGCCAACTTTTGAAAGGAAGACTGAATAACTGTAGCGAAACCCTTACCAGCAGCCCTACCCTTGAACTATAAAGAGTCTTCATTTTAAAGATGTGTGATTCTTCTTTGGCTTTGTTGGCTGCCTTTCCTCTGTGGAGCCACACTTTGTAGCAGCATCTCCAGAAATTCTTTCACCATGGGCACCTTAAGTTGTGTGTTCCCTTCTGTTTAACAATTGAAATTTTTTTATAATGCAAATATATTCTCCATTTTAAACTTTAAAAGTATTAAGTCAAGCAAGACTGGGCTGTCAGCAGAATTTATGGACAGACTGGTCATTGCGTGATGAGGCTGGTGTAGGGCACGGTATGAGTAGAATGGTGAGTATGAAATTAAGAGTCTTTGCTGGGTTTGCCAAAGAAGAAGGAAATGTAATTCCTGCCCTCGTAGAGCTTAAAACCTCATGGATATTTAACTCCAATGAATGAAAGACAGTTACCAACAATGAACAAATGAAAACAAAAACATCACACCTAAGTGCTGGTTAGGTAAGATGCAATGGCCATTATCATGTCCATTAAAACTACAATAAGCCCTAGAAGTTGAGTAAAAACCAAGGATTTAAAGAGAGAGACAAAGATCAATGAGGATTAGGTATTTGCAAAAGGACAGGACAAATACATGAATATAACTTCATTAGTTACCTAGTTTATAAACTACACTATTATTTAACCTCTCTCCTTATTTACCTCTTTATTCTGTGCCTTCCCTTAAATGTCTCATATTCTAGTCTGAATTCAAATGCTTCTCTACTTTAAACGTTAGGGTGGAGTTACACCATAAACTCGTTCCAACTGAGCTCAGGTCTCAACTGAAATGTCATTTTCACAGACAGACTTTTTCCAGTCACTTAATCTGAAATAAGTGTGCCTTGTTATTCTCTGTCTTAGCATGTTTTTCACAGTCCTTAGCACAATTTATAAAATCATAAGTTATTCTGTGACCTTATCATTTGTCCTCCTTGCTAGATAATAAACTACCTAGAAGCAGAAGTATTATTTGTCATTACTGTATACATACTGCTCACCACAGTGCCTAGCACTTAATATATATTTGTTGAAATATAACAGTATATATTTCTGTGATGAGACCAGGAATTCATATAAAGAACTGACTCCGATACCCAAAATAGTTTTAATTTCAACATTTACTAAGTTTAAGTTGTGCTAATTTCTGATACATAAAAATGTGTATCCACATAACTATATATAGATATAAATACAAACATATTTTATATCCACAGCAATATACACATGCATATATAAATATGCACAAACATAATTCACAACCATAGTAATATTCTGAGCTTTATCTATGAAATTAATTTCAATTTGGTTCAAAAATTTCATCTTTTACAACAAACCTAATCTGTTCATGAGAATCTTCATTCCATCTGAGGTAAGGAATCCTAGGTAGAACTGGGATATGGTATGGGGATGGTCAGAATTGCCCCTCGCCCATACAGGGTACATTGGTACAACTTGGGAAAGGAGCCACATCGTCTGAGTAGACACAACCACGGACCCAAAAACCTGGCTTGGTGAGTGGAGCCTGGCAGGATTTCAGCTCTCATTGGCTGTCCCAGCCAGGTGCCCTGGTACAAGACACAACCTGCTTGTAGGTGGCCATCCTGGAGGGGACTGCTCAGTGGTGATGCAAGCAGAAAGGGATGATCAGGCCACCCTTGTACAGCTTTACTCTTTGCTCAAAAACACTGATTAAATTTGTCTGGCTGAGTTTGGTCAGGTAGGGGGTCTCTTCTTCTTGGAATCACTTCTCTGAAGAGAGACATCTCCTTGAGGGAAGATGATTTCCATGTTCAAGTGTGTACATGGTGTGCCACGTCCAAGTGGACTTTCAAGGCTTAATCTTAAATAAATCAATGCTGATTCTTGAGTCCTAAAAATTACGCTGTCAAGCTGGCTCTAGGTGAGCTGTGCAATTTCCCTCTGGAAAAAAAAAAGAAGAAGAAGAAGAAGAATCAGAAGTTAGTTCCCTTTTATAGCACTATTTAGTGACTTTTTGGAAATTATATCAGTGGCACTGAGAATAAACTCTGCTATTTCATCAGTGATCTGATTTATTGACTGTCATGACTAACAACATACGGGATCAATTCTAGCTCCCATGTATCAAGAAAGAACATGTTTATCTCATTTCAGTAATCTTTTATAAATCTATTTCTTAAAACATAGGGTCACAGATTTTAAGAGCCACATAATTTTTTAAAACTAAAATTAACTTTTCAATGTCCTTGTCTTGGAGTACGAACCATAAGGAAGGAAGGCCTGTTCCAAAACTACTAAGACGAATTCATCATTTGGAGTGGGAGCTCAAACCACCGAAATATAATTTTTTAAATGATTTTTATTTTGGAAATTGAACATAAAACTGGTTATTTGTGAATAAAGGATTGGATAGTGGAAAACAGCGTAGATGGGATCCCTGAGTCCTGGTTGTAGGGCTACCTAATTACTTGAGATTGTGCAAGTGACTTAATCTGGATGGAATCTGTCTTCTCCTGTTTATTAAATGAGAGTTTAAAGTCTTAAGTCCTTATAGCTCTATGATTTATTTTATATTAAAAGTCCTCAATGCAGGAAGAACGTCAGATAAAGCAGTCTGTGGGATCAGAAGTAGCATCTGCGATCACACACATTAAAAAGTCATGCGTATACAACAGCCCCTGAGAGAAATGGTAAGCATGCCATCCCGGACAGTACTGGACCAAATATCGCAGCAGATTTTTTTCAGTTATTCTAATCGGTCACCTCTTTGGGGAAAATCCTCACTCCACTAGTAAATTAGGGTCCAGAAATCGAAAGGGGCAAGGAGAAGCCTTATCTAGCCACTGCGGCCACTTTAATAACAGTAATTCGTTTAATCCGCTGTCCACCTCCACCAACTTTCACGTTAGCTTGGAGAAGTTTATGTCCGAGAAGTGAAGCAAATCCAAATATGGGGAACATTCTTCCATTGCCAAAATGGGAAATCTGCCTTATCTCCTCTTCAAAATCCTAACAGAAAATCTGCTCCCCTGTTAAAAATACTCAAACGGGCAGAAAGCACGTTCTGTGTGCAGTCCCTTACAGGCTCCTTCTCACGCCAACTTGCGGGGATCCCGTAAATGTCAAGTCACCACTCTTAACGTACAGATCTTTTTAGAAACATTTTTACACAGACTTTGTCTACCTGGGGGAAAGGTTAATATCTAGGTACACGGGATACAGTGGGCATCCCGCTTCTGCACGCCCGAAACCCTGCTACTAATTCTTCCTCCAGAACTAACGCCTCTGTAGCCTCTGTATTTACACCCCCGGGGAAATCTCCCCAGGATCCTCCCGCACCCCCTTGAAAATGAATGCTAATTTCTCGGCCAGTTTCCTCCACCTGGCGGGGAGGAACCTGCGCTCCTGCGTCCCGGGGAGGTGCGGGCCGGCCCAGATGATTTCCAGGGCACAGGTGGGTCCCTAGAAAGGGGAGTCCGGGGCCCGCCCGCCAGGCTGGGGGACCCGACATCCCACCTCACGCACGCACACGCGCTTGTGCCACTTCGGGAGCGCGCAGCACCTTCAGCAAGGACGGGTACTTCTCCAATAGTCTTCAAACCGTCTTAACCTACTCAGCGGCTCTCAGCGTTTGAGTTGTCCCCCGCCTCTAAATCAGACCCCGGGGAAGAGCTTTACCGACTCGAGTTTCACGTTGGAAATCACCGGGGAGCAGGGGAATCCGTGCGGCGGGGAGACGGGAAAGGGACCGAAAAACTACCTACCGCCAACTCCAGCCCACTCCGTGCATCCTCCCCCGCCCGGGGCGAGGGGCGGGCCGAGGGTTGGGGGTGGGGGGAGGCCTGGAAGGGGCCCCTCCCTTCTCACCCCCCGCGGCCCACTTTTACTCACTTGCTCTCCAAGCCTGGGCTTGGCCTCCTTTACCCAGGGGTAGTGCAGAGGGGTTGAGGGGAGGAGAGAGGAGCCAGCGAGCAATCTCAGTCTCTCCGGGCCCGCGGGCCGAAGGACCAGGGCCATGGACGCCCCCAGCCGGGCACCTCGGCGAGGCGGGCGCGCTCGGTCCCGCGCCCTCGAGACTGGCTCCGAGGGCTCCACCGGGCCCTCCCCCTCCGTCCGCCGCCTCGGGCTGCTGCCCCTCCCCGCCGCAGCCGCGAGGCCGTCGGGCCCGGGAGACGCGCTCTCGCTGGGGCCGCCCCCTCCCCTCCCCACCCCCCCGCTCCCCCGCCCCCCTGCCCCGGCTGGGTCCGGGCGGGGGCGCGCAAGGAGCGGTGACGTCAAGGGGCGCGCGGTGGCAGCACCTCCCCGCGCGCTAGTTAAAAAGAAGAAGAAAAGAGGGAGCGAAACATGAGAGGCTGTGTGAGAAGCTGCAGGCGCCGGCAGAGGAGACCTCAGCATCATCTAGAGCCCCGCGCTGGCCCTGTCCGCGCCTGCCCCGCCGCTGCCGCCGCCGCCGTTTCTGTTCCTGCTACTGTCTCACCTAAACAACTCCCGTTACACGGACAAGTGAACCTCTGTGGCCGTCTTCTCTTCCTCTTCTTCCTCCTCCTTTTCCCACTCCTTCTCCTCCCACTTCCCAGCCGCAGCAGGAAGCCCCTAACCCAACTGACACTCGCGCAACTGCAAACGGTGTCATCCGGACAACTTTATCTCGCTCCTCGGACTCCCCTAAGGCATTGGACCCATCGCCTTATCTTTTTATTTTTTTGCAAAGTTGCATCGCTCCACATATTTTCGCCCCCGCCACCACTCTCTGCCTCTCGAGTGTCCCCCGCAGCCTCCTCCTGGAGCTGCGCCCTAGTGCCCCTGCTGGGCAGTGGCGTTCCCCCCCACCCCCCATCCTCCTGCGCCGAGCCCCTGCCGCTCGGGGCAGACGATGCTGAAGATGCTCTCCTTTAAGCTGCTGCTTCTGGCCGTGGCTCTGGGCTTCTTTGAAGGAGATGCTAAGTTTGGGGAAAGAAGTGAAGGGAGCGGAGCAAGGAGGAGAAGGTGCCTAAATGGGAACCCCCCGAAGCGCCTGAAAAGGAGAGATAGGCGGATGATGTCCCAGCTGGAGCTGCTGAGTGGGGGAGAGATGCTGTGCGGTGGCTTCTACCCTCGGCTGTCCTGCTGCCTGCGGAGTGACAGCCCAGGGTTGGGGCGCCTGGATAACAAGGTAAGCACGCACCCGCCTCATAGATGCGAGACTGACGTCCTGGCTAGGTGGGGGTTCCCCGCGGCTCCAGAAATGCTGGTGGCTGTGAGGAGGGCGAAACTTGTTCGGAGAGTTCTTTCCGATAACTTTTCTGAAGTGCTAGTGTGATTTGGTCGTGCGTTTCTCTGGGGTGCGCAGATAGCTCTCCCGCCCCCGAGTCCGCGGTCGGGATGCTGTGCAAAACTGCCGGTCTCAGAAAAGAGAAGCTTCTGTGGTACCCGCATTCTGGGCTGGGTAAATATTTTAAAAGAATCGCGATTAGCAGTGTGTTTTGGATCGAATCGGGCATTGGCTGCGGTGAAACTGTAAATTAAGGTGGTTGTGGTTTCCGGTTTATTTTTCTAGGGTAACAAGATTTGTGCAGTTTTCTCCACGTGCTCGGTTAGGGAGAGGATTGAATCGTAAAGGATGTTGAAGCATGGTTGGTTTATGAGCCCCAGCCCCGTCAGAGGGGGTTGTCTTGCATTACAATAGTTAAGCTGCGAAAAGGAACTCCTGCTACTCCCGTTGAGAACCCGAAAGACTGGCGAAAGATTTTGCTGGGGCATATTTGTCTCAGAAAACTGAGACTATTCTCTCCGCCTCGGTTTGTAATGTTTTGAAACATTGTAAATTCGGGCTTTGCATGGCAGTGAGTTGTCTAGGAACATCTTCTCTAGAAATTGGTTTTAGGAGTAATGGCATTTACACTTTGCTTGTGTTCTTAAGTCTAAACAAATATGGAAGAGTGTTGGTTGAGTGTAAAGGCAAGCTTATTTTTGAGTTTGCAACATCTTTCTTGTCATGGGATGCAGCAACGTGTGCTCTCTACTGTACTGCAAGGCAGGCGGGGGATCACGTCATTAACAATCCCTGCACGTGAAATAAACAATCAGGTGTCTTTGCTCCCCCTCCCTTTCTCCATTTTAGGTTTAATTAAGAATTCCTCTGTTACAACACTGCAGTTGTCAAGGTCTGAGAGACTCTTGGAAAACTTGCGCTTCAGTCTTGCTGGCCCAGGCATTAAAAAAAAAAAAAAAATACCCAGGCTGAATCTAATTTTTATGCTCAGTTCACGGTAGATTTCACTCTATTCTCATGTAAACAGCTCCTACGAATCAACATATGTGTCTGGGTGGTATCTCTCACTTTGTTTTGTAACAAAAAGCCATATTGCATCATTTAATTTGCTCAAGTCATGCAAATAGGAAAAAATCAATAGGACAAAAAGGGGTCGACTTATCCTCCTCCCCACTAAACTGTTGCCCACACACAGAGTCCTGTTGCTTATGGCAAAAGAATAACAACAACACCATTGTGTTTGTTAGTTGGTTCACTAATGGGTGAAACTAGAGAACATCATTCTCTTTCAGTCCCCAGCTCTGTCCAAATGTTCATGCCTTTTGAGGGAGCATTTGTCCAACTCCCTCTATTCCCAGATGAGTGAGAACTGTCTTGCTGCAGGTTTTCAGCTGCAACTCTCTCTTTATTCTTACCATATGCAGCAGTAGTCTGAGATTCAGGGAACAGATATTCCAGCATTTTATTCAAAACAATGTCATTAAGCTCCTGTATGGTAATTGAATTAAATTAAAAAAAAAAAAAAAGCTACATTCACATTATCTGCAGGATTTTACCAGGAGACCAGAAGAACCAGGAAATTCATAGAAGGGCTTAGAAATATTTGCCATTAAGTCTCCCTGTGTGCAATGTACACTATGAATATACCAATGATCTGCAGACCCCTGCAATACTGAACTCATCCAGGAGCATGAGAAATGAAAACTTTGTTAACTAAATAGAGTGGGGAGTTGGAGGAGTGGGGGGGGAGGAACTGAGGGGAGTCATAACCCTTAAGAGGTGTTATATAAATTTTTTTTAAGAAATCATTCTTTAGGAAGAAATCTGCCACGTTAGCTATCCACATTCCTTTCCGTTTTACGTGCTTCCAATCTCCAACAAACCCCTACTCATTTGGAAAATGTGTCTGAATTAAATTTGGTACACTAGACTTTGCTGGTTCCATTACAAGGGCTTTATAAACCAACAATACTCAAATTGTTCAAAACAGAGTAGTGATATAGCTGTGCATGTGCATTCTTGACCTATGTTAGTTCTCAAGTTTTAATAGTTTTTAAAACATGTTATTTTATAATAAACTTCAGTGTTTCCCTGTTTTCCCCTAAGCCTTTCTGGCTTATAATATATGTTAGGGTCTTATTTCATAATGTGTGTACAGGAGAGATGATGGCTATTTGAACGGACCCATTTTTGTTTATGGAAAAAAAAAAAAAATCCCAAGAAGGATTTGTGCAACTTTTCAAGAAACTACAAGCATAGCTTCCTCCTACAGGAAGAAACTTCATAGATAGTAGCAAACAAGGTAGGAATATTAAGCATGCTCCTCTGTGCAATTAAGTCAAATTTACAAACTAACACATTTTCTTTAATGTAATGAACTAAGATTGAGTTCAGTCCTTTGGCCATGGTATTATGCTTTCATATTCTAATTTTTAGTACAGTTTAGTAATCTTGTGTATTGTAACGAGATTATTAACTACCATTATAAATAAATACTGCCAAAATTTAGGAAGTTACATTGTCTTGGCAATATTTTTTTGCAGCTCCTAAATACAACATGCTAAAAGGATCTAATTCCCATTAGCCAAATTGAATCCGCAGCCAACTGAAATACCCCCATTTCTAAAACTTAACTTGTAGCCACAGAGGCTTAGACGCTCTCTCTACCTTGGGTGGTTTCACAGCCAAAGCTGTCAAGGAATGGGTGAAAAGTAATTGTTTTCAAGTGTGCCCTTTTACAATCATTTGTTTGCTCTGGCTCTTTCAGGGACAAAGGCTATTGTTGAACACATCCAACTAAACAAATAACTCATCCTGGGGTCCCTTTAACAGCTGCCTTAGTACAATGATCTATTTACATATTAGCCTAAAATTGAAACTGAACTCTTTAATGACATAATCCAGCACTATAGTCCAGAGACGCATGTGTTCTAGCCAACAGCTGAACAACCTTGTAGGCATATGATTTTTAGAAATAACTTTTTGTGTACCAAGTGATCTTAAGGCGACATCTTAATATACTGTCATGTATTTTCTCCTTTTGTCTGCTCATCGAACCCATGTGGGTGCCTTTTTATCCTCTTTGTTCAGTTACTTGATAAATAAAGAGAAATACAGAAGGTCTCTGTCACCCATTTTACCATTTGTTGATAAGCTATAGTTGTAGGCCACGCTCCACTGTGTGTATTCCAGTATTTATCTTACCTTTCTTCTATGGATTTTCCTTTCTTGTGGCTCAAGATTAAAGGATGACCTGCCAGATGTTATAAATTAGTCAGCAACAGCCACAATCATTACTAGGCATGCTGTAATAATGTTTCGAAGTTTTACATGACTTTCAAAGTATATTTAGTTAAACCACTATAATTTGATGGTTTCATAGATGGCTTTTAAAAATCGAAACAGGAAATTAGCTTAAATTTCTTCTTAAGATTGATGACCTTGTCAGACATAAAGTTAAGGACCTATATGGACACAAGCACATAGGCAAAAAAAAGAAGAAAAACTACCCTACACGCACCAGGACTCATCTGTCTAAAACAGTGTTGCAGCTTGGACTGAGTCCGTTTAATTGACTTCAGTAAGACTATTGGTTCATTGAAACCAAAGCCAGAATGATGGCTCTATCTATCTTCAAATAGGTATTTACACTGCAGACCTCACACAGAGCAAAATGTTACCATCCTGCTGGGCCAGAACAGCATGAAACTTTACAGAGAATAACATTATACTCGATTTCAGATAATTTATTGAATCCTATTTCTGAAACTTTTTGATGAGAGATCTTGTGGCCAGAACACATTCCAAAAATTGTAAAAGACAAAATTCTTCAGGCACTAAAATCAAGCTCTTCCTGGACAGCAGCTGGGAGGGTGTATGAGGATCATTTTGTTTCAGCTATAAAAAAATGGAAGCATGCATATTCTCCATAAAACTAAAGGTAATTATATTCCAGTTTTTCAGCCAGCAAAAAAGGTGACTTCAGCATCCTGCAGTTGTTTTGTTCTTAGTGCCCTGCTGTACGATAAGCAAACAGAACAAAGTTGAACAGTATTAATATTGAATAGATCTGGTGAGGTCTGCCAGAATATGGACAATAAAAGACATTTAAAACATTCTTGGAATGCAAATTCTAAGTGTCTGGCGTATGTTTCCTTTCAGAAAACTTTAACCATTTAAGCAATTGTCATTTAAATAAATTGATAAAAATCAAAATGTAAATATAATTGTGATTAATAATAACTTTTCTGAATGTTGTAGATAGTTACAACACATTGCAAAATATATATAGTTTTTTTGAAATAGGGTAACTTCTATGGAACTTTTAATTACTGCATGCTAAAGTTTTATCATGCTTGTATTCAGTGATACTTTTTAGTCACTTTGTTCTCTCAGGTCCAAATTTCGTGATCATCTAGAATATCTTTATCATAAAAAACAGAAGCCATGCCGTTTACTCAAATTAGAACTTCCTTGTGAATGAAGTATTTGCTTTAAACAATGATCTGAAGTTTCAGATGTTAATTTCAGTTCATAGTTCTAAAGAAATAATTAGGCATAAATGTAGTTATATAAACAGAAAAGGTATGAAATTTATTCCCATTATGAAAAATCAATACTTAATTTAGACAACACTACATTTCAAGTCTCAAATATTGTGCTGGTATTGTCTTCCATGTCTATTGGAGGAGCTCCTGAAGTCGTTTTTTTTTAAAGTTAGTACTAGACACCAAGACCAACTTCATTAACAAATTACTAACCTCAGTGAATCAGTAACTCCTGAATTAGTCTTACTGAAATAAAAGATGTAATACTGTATACATAAAGATAAAAGTCTGAAATAAAAGATATAATACTGTATAAATAAAGATAAAGTATTCCTTTTTTTTTTTTTACTAAAACTCACTAAATCCTATACAAAAGCACTTTTATTAAACCCCTGTGTTTATTCATGCATATAACATACCTGAGGAGCTAGTTAGAAAGTTTTTCCTGGCTAAGATAAAATGAATAATAAAAATTGGTCTTAAACCAGTTCAGCTTCAGATATTTTTTTTATACAACATGAAAAGAAGGTATTTCCCCCACTGTAGGAAACTTTCCCTATGCAATCTGTAGATTGAAAACTACCTGAAATTAGAGAAACATAATTCCAGTAATATCCCTGAGAATATCATATTAGGAATATCAGGAGTGAACTACATTTTTACCTGAGACACAAATAACCATGTCTTTGAAAATTCTGCTTTACATACAGTTGGATAAAGGTATTTAGAGGATTTAGAGGATAAAGGTATTTAGAGTAAATATCAGTCACTGTACACTTTGACACAGAGCAAAATGATAAATGGTTACAGGGTCTCAGTACTATTGTTGTTTAGTTTTTCATACCTGAAAGATAAGCAGACTTTGACCTGCAAGAGTAAGAAGCACTTTTGTGCATCCTTACCCTCTGCTCCCCCATCTCAGCCCAAGAGACTCCACTTATATCCTTATTAAAGGCATTCTGTATTTGTGACATGGTAATTCTTTTCAGACAACCGCTGTGGCTAAGTTACATGAGTCTACTTATAGGATTACAAAAAACATAACTAAACCTAACTTCACGTGACTAAAGAGAAGTTTGTTTCTGATTTATGGCTTTCAGATATTTTCTGTTACCAACAACACAGAATGTGGGAAGTTACTGGAGGAAATCAAATGTGCACTTTGCTCTCCACATTCCCAGAGCCTGTTCCACTCACCAGAAAGAGAAGACTTGGAAAGAGACCTTGCACTTCCCCTGCTCTGCAAAGACTATTGCAAGGAATTCTTTTATACTTGCCGAGGCCATATTCCAGGTAAAAAAAAAAAAAAAAAAGGACAAATTAAATAAATTACTGCAGAATATCCTTATAAGATACCTGTTCTTAAATGCTCGCTTCTGAGGGGGTAAAATTTATCTCACCTACCCAAAAACCTATTTTTACCTCACAGTTAACCTTGACAAATTTGTAAACTTTCAGAATTGCTGCTAAAAAGCTTACTGTCATTCCGGTCTACAAACAGTATGTTGGTTTTGTTGAGATGTTTTACATTTGCTAAATCGATAATACAGTTGGTGGTCTTTATAGGCATTGGATTATCCGTACAGATTTCTTGATGTCTTTTTCATCTGCCAGCATCAATATCAAGACAGCTTCCTTTTCTACCTAGCTGATACCAAAGTGCAGATTGACCACAGACTCTTAAGGTCTTACTTCCTTAAATAAAGAATTATTAGAAATCCAAAGTAACACCTTACACAGCACCTTCACATATAATGCGAATTTGCTCCTCAAAAACTCTGTGCTGCAGGAAAGAAAAGTGGAGTCATCCCCATTTGACCAATGAGGATGACTGAGCCTCAAGAGACGTTAAATGCCTTAACCGAAGTTGTGTGGCGAGGAAGTGATAGGATAGATATAGAAGTTCATAGGCTGACAGTGTCACAAATATATCTGCTTACTACCTTATTTTGGACCCTAAAAAACAAATAGATTCTTGGACCTTGGTTACTTTTACCATCCAAAGTTTGTAAACTTTGGCTGTTGTTGCTTCAGTTGGAAGAATCAACATAGAGATACAAAAGAATTTAACGAGACAGATTCTGTTTAGTTAGGCAGAGTCACACACAAACAAATCTACTGAAGCTAACAGTTTATAAAACTAAACGGCATTGAAGGAAAAGACAAGTTTTAAGAACTGTAGTATGCGCTTGGAGACCTTTTTTAACTGCTATGCATATTTTACATTTTTCTCTGACCCAGAAAAGTGTACATTCTTTATTTTTTTTTTTAATAGAGCTCTCTTACTAACCTAAGAAAACATTTTGACTAGGTTTGCTTGCTTCCTTTGGTGTACCATACATGTATCTAAACCCATTTGTGAGAAAATATTATTATTGTCTTTGTAAACTACCACCATGTCTGAAAGGCTTTTCTTGAACCAGCTGTTTCTTCCCCTTTATCACATTCCCCAAGGCAGAGTAGAACAAGTCACGGTTGCCTAGATGTCCCACAAAGAAGCGCTAACAGATTAGGTACCATGAAGGTTTGCTGCAAATCTCAGGTCTTGAAGGTTTGCCTTTACCCATATAAATTGAAAAGTAATATGGGCACTTACCATTTTCATCCACCTTTATCTACCTGAGATAAATACAACAGTGCTGGATTTAAGGACTCACCCCTAAGGTCTCTACAGATGTGAGTTATTTTAGCTTCCAAAACAAACAACAGAGAGCAACATCCAGCAAAAGAGAGAGAGAGTGTCACAAATAGCTCAGGAGCTAGACCTGCAAGCACCTCGCTCCCCAGATCAACATATGTGGTGACGAATGACAAATTTATGTTTCTACAAAGTTTGTGTATATGTAAAACTGCCGAAGAGCATCAAGATGTCAAGTGCTTTTGGGGGCCACCCAGGCTGCCTTGAAAGACAACCAGATGAAAGCTCCACTCCAGTGGTGGGTAGAGAAGCAAGGGTGCTTTCCAGGGACAGGTTACAGGCTCCAGCAACAGGCAGAGGGGGACTTCCCCTGCATCTGTCAGAAGCTAATAATCATTCTAAAGACTGGTCCCAAAAGTGAAACACACTCTTGGTGTTAATTTATGTTAACCAATTTGTTTCCAGACTTATCCAGGGCACAGAGCTGACCATTTTCTAAAGTATGATAGATAAGACGGGACTCTCCCCACTCAGCCCTTGACCCAACACAGAAGGCTCTTTACGGTTCCGGAACACTTATTTTTCAGAAATTGCCCTCAAAACAAATTTTTAACATTTTCACCTTCTTAAGTCTACAGAATGACATGGTTTACTATCCTCTAGAGTTCATAACTGCAGGAAAGAGATACTTTGTGATTCTTTCTTATAAGAAGTCAATATATTTGACTTTCCTCATTAATAGCCTCATCTTCCTGCACATGAAAAACTTGAAAATCCACCACTAGGGCACTTGCCGAAAGGGGTTGAGAGAGGGGGAAAGAAAAAATCTCAAAGGCATCTTCATTTTCCCCCCATTGCCCAGTAGGTCAAGAAATAAACAGAAATGCTCTATCCCTGTGCTTCACCTTCATGAGTTTAAGAAAGCACCAGTCACCTTGGAATCCAAGAACATCCAGAAGATAACTGTGCTTTAGAAACTGTAATTCAGAAATATTCATGGTCTGCCTCTATTCAAAACATGAAAAAAGTTAAAAGACGGTAGTGGAGATACACTAGTGTTTTATTAATCATAATATTCTCCAGTTGTGAATTGACTTAAGGAAGTAAATTCTTAAAACTCATAAAAGAGCAAAATTGCATTTGAAAATAAAAGAAAAACAAACACCCACACAGGCACACAGGCGCTCCCTGCTCAGACCAGCGGCCCTCTTCTCTGCCTGCCGTATGGAGCAAGGCGATGCTTTGCTGTTCCCGAAACAAACATAGCACACTCTGTGGAAAGGGTGGAAACGCACGTTCAGTGGCCTTGCTTCCTCCTTTATACTTGTTACCGCGAGTTTCATGATATACTTTTTCTCACCCTCAGGCCGTCCTCTCTTCAGCTGTAGGTTATTTAGTGCGAAATGTCTGTATGCAATTAGTTCAATTGGTTTAATCCTGTTGCTAATGAGGCCAAGGTCAAGGGTTTGATTCCACTGAGTCTCTGTAGTCCATAGCCAGTCCTGACCCCAGTCAGATACCTTACACATGTGGCTTATTAGTCCCCGGGAGAGCAAACCAGACGGAATGGATGGATACATCAAAATCCACTACCTCTATTAGAAAATGCTGTCAAGGGCAGGCCTCACTGACAGTGGGTTTTCTTGTGTTTTGTTTTTTTCCTTATCACGGTGAACAGCATACATAATGAAGAAAAGTAACTTTTCTCTAGCATACATGGCCAAGAGGAAAGCTAGAGCTTAGAACATTCCACAGAGAATATTTATTTACATCAGTATGTTGTGCATTGCTTTGTGGTATAGTAGGACTGGATTCATCGTGATCCAGAATAGTTACAGGTCCAGGGTATTTGATAAATTATCAGGAATTTTAAAGATGCCGCTGCTGGAAAAATCCACGTTATTTCCATCATCAGTAGACTTGATCATACTATGATGATCCAAAGTGAACTAAACACCCACCTTCGGTAAAATGCCGCTTGGGGTATTGTCCCAGATAGAAGGGTACCATTTGGTAAATTATATCTTCCCTGACAGTAAACAAATGTAAACCCAGTGTCCTGAAACCAGGTTCCTTTTAGCTATTCACAGGAAAATATATCCTAGTCATCACTGTCCACAAAATCAGATCATTTAAGGTAAACTATTAACAAAAGTATAAGATGTTGAGATTCAAATATCATAATTAGGAGGAAAATGTCCATATTTTTATGTGTCTTTTGAGTTGGCTCCCTCCTTTACCCTTACTCAGTTTGCATAGATTCTGTAAAAAGCTAGGAGTAATTCACTGTTAATTCCATTTTTGTTTTAATTTGGTAAGAGAACACCTTTGGAGCCATAGGGCTTATGAATCTATGCTCTTTAATCTTCAGGTGTTACATTTGAAAATGATTTGTCACTTCCACGTTTGTCCCCAGCCAATAACCTTGTCGAATGGAATCAGCCATCAGCATTGTTTGTTAATTTTCTCTTAAGATGGTATTGGTTTGCAGACAGTAATCCTGGATGGAGATATTTCTTAAAAAGCCAACTTGAAATTTCTTATCAATTTCACTTTGAAATTTTTATGTGATCTTGCAGGCAAAGATCATATTAAAGTGAAATTTCTCATTTACACATTCAGTTATAAATATATCCATAGTATGACAGTATTCCTGCATGCATAATATTGGCATGGAGATCTTGATGCCTGATGGGGGCTGTGTGTGTGTGTGTGTGTGTCCCCAGAGAAAGATCAAGCCCAAAACTGCAAAAAGTTTGCTTTAGCAACGCCGTTTTCCTTCTCTTTTTACATCAAACAGTCTTGTTCAACACTACTGAGCAGTTTTCATCTATGTGCTTAGCCAGGAAAGAACGGAGGAGAAAAGTTATCTTTTGTAAACAGTGAATCACTGAAGAAGAGTAAATGCTGCCTCCTTTCTTCCTCTCCCCAATTTCTAATCCCTGAATTTTTTTCAAAGAAGGATAACCTCCTTCCAGCTGCCTTGCCCCTCCCATGAAGCACCCCTCCCAGCTGCCGTGCCTCCTTTCAGTCTCACCCTTACCCCACCCCTACACACACACACACACACACACACACACACACTCAAGGACATCTGCTCTCACTTGCCTGATTTCCAAGGAGAAGATGTTTCCTCACAGGCTAGTCCCGTACTGGTCTTGAAGAGTCTGTCTCAGAAATTTAGGGATGATACATTTTACCCAAAAGTTAGGTCAAAATGTACATCAGGACTCTCAGAATTCTCAGATTAGTTTTAAGTTTGAGGGGGCCCAAGTCAAGCTCCTAGAAAATAGACTTTTAGTCTTTCACGTTCCACGGATAAGTCTCACTTGGTTGTGCCCAGTTCTTGTTCTTAGAAATCCTTGCAAACCTGAATCCATTACACAGCTTCTAAACATCAGCCGAGGGACAAGGTACCTTCATCACAAAGCTGTTATGTGTACAATAATCTAAATTGTTAGGTAAAAATCAAAGTGTTATGTGTAGTTAAAGATATGAGACCTGCAGCAGGAAGTTAGGACATCATATAAGGTTGACTCTGGTAACAACATCATATTCTGAAAGCAGAAGTAATCAGAATATGGAAGGAATCTTAGTAATGTGCCCCCCCCCAAAATACCTTATTTACTCAAATTGTGAAAATAATGACAAAATTCTTTTTTTTGTCATAAAGTCCTCCTCCCCTTTAGTAAATATAGTTGTTTTTATTTGATTAAAAAAAAAATTCTCAATCGGTAAAAGAAGAGAAAACATCTTTCAGATCCCTTTAAGTAAGTCTGTTTTGCATTTCTGTTTTGACTTTTCATATTTTTTTCAGTGAGGGTGGCATACCAGCTTTCTGATTGAGAAGACTGAAGGGATAGTTTAAATATAGTTCTTATATTACAAGATAAGCATTATTTTCTGTAAGCGATGCGTAGGAAAAAGGCACATACGTATTTGAAGATGGAGGCTCTGTTCTTAACACCGTCATAGTGAGTCAGTCATTTATTACGACATATAAGGACCTTGTGATATTCAGTAGATTTATTATTCAATCACATGTGAGTGACAGAGAAAAAGATTGTAAAATGACCCAAATAGGCACCTGATGATCTATTTCTTTCTTGACTCTAGTGTGTTCTTCTTAGGATGTTATTTGTTATGGTAGGGAGGAAAAGTGCTGACCAGTGATGGGATAAACTTACAAGTACAACATATGGTAAATGAGGAAGCTTGCAAAGGGTCAGTGCAATAAGATTAACGCTGGATTTGGATTCTGTGTATTCCGTATGAGTCTTTTAAGATATCCCATACCATATTATTTCACTTTAACAGAAATTCTTAAATTTTGGTTAAAAAAAAAATGGAAATCCCAAGCCAAAAAGTGGTCCTTTCTTTTTATTATTTTCCTAGAATATTCATATACTTTCTAAAACATGTTTCCCATATTTTGTCTTTCAAATAGGGCATTTTTACTGTTATGCTAACTATTTCTAATGAGTCTTTCTGCATTTTTTTTAAAGGTGTCCTTCAAACTACTGCTGAAGAGTTTTGTTTTTACTATGCAAGAAAAGATGGTGGGTTGTGCTTTCCAGATTTTCCAAGAAAACAAATCAGAGGACCAGCATCTAACTACTTGGACCAGATGGAAGAATATGACAAAGTGGAAGAGATCAGCAGGTTCATAAAGATAAATGCTCTTTAATCTTAAAAAACAAAAACAGAAACAAAAAACCAACTGACCAGTTTTGTGGTTTTGTTAGTGAATCAACTGTCTGTGTTTGATTCCAGCAGCTATCTCCTCCAGACGCTTTTTTTTTTCTTTTTGGTAGTTTGCTTCTCTAACATCACATTTGCTTAAATGCCTTTAATGCTTAGACTACTAATCTTTTATTATGAGTTTGGCCTCTCTGTGATTCACGTGAATTTCATGATTATAGTTTTAAACTTGACCTTTATGGCTGTTGTTAGCATATGGAAATAGCACAATTCTTATTAGCAAATCAGAGTTTTATAAATAGATCTCAGAACTTTCTCTCTGAGGGCCTTTCTGTAAGGCTTAATTATTGTGAGTAAAGCTAATTTTAATTAGAGTCACTGAAAGAGAAGATGATGAGCTCATGAAATTTTAAAATCTGTAAAATTTTTATTTTGATTCTCTCTTTGACTTTTTTTGGTAGAAGCCTATTTGTTCCACTGAAAAGAACTTAAAAGAATCATATGGTGACTTTTGGGCTAACAGCACGTCATGATTCTCAAAACCATTGATTCCTAGAGGAAATAGATTTTGAAAAGGATGCAAGTACATCCTTTACCTCCTTCACCTCAAGAAAAGCTTACTGGTTTTCTTTAATTTGTTTAGAAAGCACAAACACAACTGCTTCTGTATTCAGGAGGTTGTGAGTGGGCTGCGCCAGCCTGTCGGCGCCCTGCATAGTGGGGATGGCTCGCACCGTCTCTTCATTCTGGAAAAAGAAGGTTACGTGAAGATACTTACCCCTGAAGGAGAAATTTTCAAGGAGCCTTATTTGGACATTCACAAACTTGTTCAAAGTGGAATAAAGGTTGGCTTTTTAAATTTTATTTCTCTTTGCTCTGGCTATGTTGATTTTATTTTAGTGTTCTCGCTCTCGCTGAAAGTATTTGTAATAAAAAGAATGTTTAAGGAGAACGTAAGGAGACAACCTAAGGGGACAGTAATTTACGACAACTGATTGGGGACAGTGACATGACATTTTTAATATTCTTTGGTGACTCTTAAGCAGTGCCATCCGGTTGATATCTTGACATGCTTTCCTTGTGTAAATTACAGATTGAAAATAATACCTGGTTTTATAAAGTATGTGTTTAAATGTTGTTTACTAGGCATAATACTTAGAACTGTGTATCAGCACTTGCTGGTAGAAACAAAGAGGTCTTTCGGTTATTTTGGCAAGAGCAAAGCATTCGTTTACTGCATCTGTTTTTGCGTCTGTCATAAAAAATGCTACCTTTACTGTGACTTCCTTGTACAATGTTTTTACAGGTAAGTCAAATGTTTTCATCGATAATTGGCCATTTTTATATTACATATGCATGTGCTGCCTTCTCTCACTTCTCCAGTTTGAATTCTCATGTTAGATAATGTCCTAGTGTATACATAAAATTACTGTCAAGTTTGACAAGAGCATAATATGTTATATTATTAGCAGTACGAAGCTGTAAAGTAAACTGACGTTTTAAAATTGAGGCACATTCAATAGCTCATGACTAATTTAGAATGAGACAAAGTAGCAGTACGATTTGAGAAGAACTGGTTGTCTTTTGTACCTGGGAAGAAAAGTCAAAGGAGGATGTATATTCTTCTACTCATGTAGAAATGAACTCCTCCTTGCTTTGTTGAGCTTTATTCAAAGGCATGGACATCAAAACCAGAAGAAATAAGTCAGGAAAAAAATAGGTACATTCCTGATGTCAATTCATTACCTGCCATCGAAAATAATTAGGATGATTCGGTTAGAATACAGAGATTATATATTCCATGTTGTTGGTAGCACCCAAATTCAGGCATGTGTTGTGACTCTGTCACCAAGAAATCCTGCGTAAGAGAAGTACTTTATGGTACGTATGATCATTTATGGAAAAGGGCTTCAGCACCAACACAGAGATCATTTGGAAAATCTGTTAAGCTCAGTAGTCTCAACTTTCTCCCAATAAAAGTTTTCATTAGAATTCACAGCAAAATCACCAAAAGTCTCTTAAAATGAAGCATTAGTGTTTTGCACATAAGACTTTAATAAGTACATTTTGAAATGTGTTCTGATAATTCACCGCCAGTGGAGCAAAGAATTAAGATGCAGCAGCACGTATATTACTCACTAGCGGTGTATTTCTTTTCAAAGATTTTATTTATTTATTTGACAGACAGAGATCACAAGTAGGCAGAGAGGCAGGCAGAGAGAGAGGAGGAAGCAGGCTCCCTGCTGAGCAGAGAGCCCGATGCAGGGCTCCATCCCAAGACCCTGGGATCATGACATGAGCCGAAGGCAGAGGCTTAACCCACTGAGCCACCCAGGTGCCGTGCAGTGTGTTTTTCTTACTATGAAAGTTATATGTACTCTTTATGAAAGAAAAAAATTGGGGAATGTATTTTAAAAATCATCACCTATAATCTCATCAGTTAAAGAATACCATTACTAACATTTTGATATACTTCCAGCTTTTATAATAAAATTAGATGAATTTATCCTGACTGCAAAGGTAATATAGGTCCATATTAATAAATGTGGAAACATACAAGAACATGTTTTCTTTTTGCTTTTCTCCCAAGCAGCTTTAAAATAAAATTGAAATCCAATTGTATACACATCTTTTTAGCTTTCTTTTTTTGACATAAGAGTATGTCATGAGTATGTTACCAGATTTGAAAACTTCTCTCAAAAACTTAGTTTTTCTCTCTTCTGGGTATTCCATTTCCTAATTATGAGACATTTAGAGTGACTCCGGTATTTTCTTTCTATCAGTGCAAGTAATGTGATTTATCATTCTCCTGTGTATTATTTAACCTGATCATGCATGACTTCCTTAATGTCCCTTCACAGAAAGAGCATTACTGAGATGAAGGACATAAACCCTGATACTCATTGCCAATGGCTTTAGAATATATTTTCAAGTATTTGAAAGAATAACATACAGCTTTTAAATATTTGAATAAAAATATTGGTATTAAAAAGATAAGGCATGATAAAATGTAGGTGTAAGAAATGGGCTCAGTTTCGTTGTAAGAAGTGAAGAACTGATGTTCTCATTTCTACTTCAGTTTACCTAAGTAATGATAGCCTTTTCTTGGGGTTCCTTCAGAGTGTGTCTGTTTCATCTTACGCCCATTCATTGGGATAGTGAACGAAAGTTTATCTTCTCCAACCTGGAGATATTTCATCACGCAATAAAATTGTAGAGGCCAGATTATGACAGTACAATGATTCTGCAGTAGGTATGTTCTGCAAGCCTCTGGAAAATTCTGTAGAACCCTTATTGTCCCTTATTTCCTACGACAGTTCCAGGCCTTATAGGGCTTAAAATAAACTTCAAAAATCCTTGATTCTACATTTGTAGAATACATAATATAACATATTTTTTAAAGTGCAATATTTGCATTCTCTTGGAGTTTGGGACTAGTGATGTCAATAAGATAGGAACCTATCATGGCAGAGTCGAGTGTATACTGTATAGCCAGTAATGAGACCACAGCCTTGTTAACTCAGGTAGGTGATGCTACAACTGTCCTTTATCTTAGACTCTATGGAACTTCCCTCGCAAGTCATGAATTGGAAGTGTTAGAAGAGGCCGCTGTTGGCATGATGGGGCGGATGCCAGCACATTCATGAGTTGATCATACCATTGATCTTTGTGATATGCCCTTTAGAGACTTCTGAAGTAAAAAAATTTTCACACCTATTTCACAGTAATTTTTTCAGGCTTCTTGATATATGAATAGTTAGTGCGTTCATGGCAGAATTCTGTGTTTGTCAACAATCATTTTATGTAAATAATACAAATAGCAATTTCATAAATTATTATGTATATCACTTTCTATGCTTTCAGTTTTAAAATTCTAAGAGAAGGCATAAAGCTTTATTAACTGACTAAAGTATTGATTGCAATACTCAGATCACAGAAATTAATAATGTATACTCAACCTAACCTTCATATGTTTGAAATGAAAACAAGACAAACCACAGTGAAGATCCCCCCATGATATTAATTAATCATCATCTGAGTATCTTAAAACAAACATAAAGAGGAATTCCTGATTACAAGAGTTTCTGAAAGCTAGTGCTTGCTGTAAGGGAATCTGGAATTCCGTTTCTGCTAATTGTCAATTAAGAATCAACAGGAATTTCTGTCACCTGGTAAAGGACTGACATTTTTGTGGCAAGAAGCAGAACATGGTTGGTGTCCTCAAAGCTTTAGTAGCCCTGATTCTTAAAGCTACTTCAGAGAAGTGCCATCAACACAGCCAGTCATCCAGGGAACTTAGACAACTCTTCCCTAAGTGGTCCTGTCTGAAGCTAAAAATAGGGTGTCTTATTTTTAAACACCCATATTGTGCTGCCTATATTGTGGGAGATTTCAGTACGTGTAATTTTCTATATCTGTCCAACCCAAGTTATATGCTAAAATGCAAAACACAAGCTAAAGAAATGGCTTGAATTTGCTATAGGAAATACATTGTTGAGTTGGATGAATGGAATAAATTCTCATGCCCTGTGAATTTAAACTGTCATTTGTTTGGGAAGAGATGATTCCATTCACAACAGCTCAAATCCTAGAAGACTGAGCTTTGAGAAATTGCCAAGTGAACAGTGAGTCAGAAAACTGTTTTAAAAGTATGTAGTGATTTCATAGATTTTTGATTGTAGTGCACTGTTTAAGCTAACCACTAATACACCAAAGAATGATCCAAGTGTTCAACTGGTGAGCAGTCTTTAAAATCTTCATTTGCGGGTGTGCATGTGTGTGTATGAGTGTGCACATGCTTTGTTTGTTATTGTTGTTGCTGTTTTATCCCAAAGGGAGAAATTTTAAAAATCATACTATCTATGTCCCTGGGTAGTTTGAGGGGTGCTTGGGTGGCTCAGTGGGTTAAAGCCTCTGCCCTCAGCTCAGGTCATGATCTCAGGGTCCGGGGATCAAGACCCACATCGGGCTCCCAGCTCAGCAGAGGGCCTGCTTCCCCCTCTCTCTCTGCCTGCCTCTCTGTCTACTTGTGATCTTTCTCTCTGTGTCAAATAAATAAATAAAATCTTTAAAAAAAAAAAAAGATACTGGTAGTTTGAAATCTATAAATTGAGCTTATAGCTGAATTCTGAGTCAGACCTTCTGGCAAGTGCTCGAATCAGCTTCATCTATCTGAAGTCCTTGGGAATGACAAGCCAGTGGTTCTCAGGAATGGCTGCACAGTATAATTGCCTGAAACCTTTAAAAACTTCTGCTGCCCAAATTAAGTTGCACTATCTGGGATTGAAACTTAGGTATTGGTATGATTTTAAAGCTTTCCCAAGCAATTTCAACGCATAGCCAATTTGAGAGCCCCTGATCTAGACCGAACTAAACGCCTGGGCCAGTTTCACATTGAATGAGACACATTTCCCTGCCCAGACTATGCCCAGGTGCTACTACTAAAATGTCCACGGGGAGCAAATGGTTGAATATTAGCTGTCATTTGTCACTTCCTTGGCCTATACATATTACTTGTCCACTTTGAGGGAGAAGATGAGTTCATTCTTGCACCATATAAGATTCTTGATATAAAGTTTTGAAAAAGAATGTTGTAAAATCTCAACAATTCTAATTGGACAATTTCTTTGCCTATAAATTTTTCCCATTTTTGTTCCTTTTGGAACCTGGTATTCAGCTCATTGGCAAACAGTCATCCCTGTTCCTAAAATATGTAGTTTGTGTTTATATTATAGACCCCTGTAAACATGACAAGGACACCAAAGGTTATTCTAGTGTAATTTTAACAAACTTCTGACTACCAAGGATCTGAAAGTCAGCCTTAGCTTTGTGTATGTGCAGGAAG